ATTCTATTAACTGTATTGTGATGCTTCTGATAACAATAAAGGCGGGGAAAAAGAGCATTTAACCACTGAAGCATATTCTTTTCATTTGTCTTGTTTATTATTGCTGATTTTATTCATTACCTGCCTTATCATCTATTTAAACTAACCGTGTTTTCCTTGTTTCATTATGTTTTATCAAGCTCCATTTATTACTTTGGGATAAATGGGATATAGTTACTGGCTTGAATTAATTTCCACAGTATATTGGCTATGTCCTGAATATTTGGCTTCTCCTAGCCTTGCTGTTAGAGTTTTTGGAGGTATTTAGGCGACCATTGTGATAAGTGATAAATGATCATAAAGTCTGCAAAACACACACTCACTTTTATGCTTAAATACAACAGCTGTGGTGTTCTTTATTTTTTAAAAAAATAGGGAAGTTATGTATATATTTTGTAGCGATAATGAGGCTACATCATTAATAGATGTCCATGTTTCTATGCTATTGTATTGATCCTAACATTTACTCTGATCTGGGATATCCAGACTTTTCACTGCAGGAGATATCTGTAACCCAGCAACATTTCCACAATTCCCAGCTGACCCAAATAAAAGTGAGCTGCAAAACATCCATTTTGGTATTTATTGCTTACCATAAAGTAACACTAGTTAGTTGATGATGTCTATCAGGAATTTCCCTCCTTCATGAAAACTCTGTATATAATTTAACAATCCCTTTGAGGAGATACAATATTCACACTAAATGTGTGTGGATAACAAAGTCATTCCTAAAAGCTACATTGCCCTGGTTACTAATATGCTGTGTGTCTGCTGATTATCCTGCTGGTTGCCTGGAATCTCTGTTCCTCATAAATGCAAAGGAAGAAAAGGTGGAGAGAAGGCTCCTGCCCCCATAGTTATATTTAACCCTCTTAACAATATTACGGTGTTACAACCTCCTGACTTGCCCAAGCATTAGAAATTTCAAAGCTATCAGTATACAGCTTGCCTCTTCCTTTAACCTTTGAATTGCAGAGCTGGAAGGGACCCTATGGATCATCGTGTCCAGCCCTTGTAAAGGAGTTGCAATAGAGAACTGAACTCCCACCTTCTGACTCTGCAGCCAAAGACTTAAGCTACTAGAAAAAGCATTAGAAAAGTTATTATTGTTTTGTTCATTACGTTGCTTCCAACTTAAGGCAATGCTAATCTTAGGGCTCAATCACACCTGTCAAAAGAGCCCAAGTTATACTGGTTTGGCTGTTGTTTTAGATTGTGTCATAATTTTCCAGTCACACGACACACTACCAACATCAAGTCATTTGCCCTAGCAATTGGTGTACTTCCTCCTTGCTGTGATGGTTGTTTTAAATTGTACAATGATGTATTACTTCATTCCTTATCATTTGAGCATATATGAACATTGCTGTCAATTTATATCCTTTGTGAAGGGGTTGGGTTTCTGGATGCTGTGGCCACTTCATGGCCACTGTGCTTGCACCCTTAAAAAAAATAAAGGATTATCAGTAAATTGCTAGTAGCAGCCACATGTGAATTGCAGAGATGGAAGGGACCCTATGGATCATTGTGTCCAGCCCTTGTAAAGGAGGCACAATAGAGAATTGAACTCCCACCCTCTGACTCTGCAGCCAAAGACTTAAGCCACTAGAAAAAGCATTAGTTCTTCAACCTTGGTCTATCAGAAAAGCAGTGGAAACAAAGACCAAGTGCTATATCAGATTGCCATATCTGAAAGATGTGGTGGGAAAACACAGGGCAGCGGGAAAAGGAAGGTTTGACTGCTGTCAAACCTGCAGTTCAATGCATTCCAATGGGGGAGAAAAAATTCACCAAAAATTAACGAAGAGTCAGAGCAAAGCCAAATTAAGTTAGCAAATGTTTTAGAAGGTGCATTCATGATCCCAAGCATTTAAAACAGTTTTTGAACATTTTAAGACACTTTAAAAATAGCGAAAACGGACATCGCAAAACCTTTGAAATGCATTGAATAGGCTTCAATGCATTCCAATGGGGGAAACATTGTTTCGCTTAGCGATGTTTCCGATGGCGATTTTCGCTTAAGGACGGTAATCTGTTCCCATTGGAACGGATTAACCGGTTTTCAATGCATTCCAATGTGAAATGGTGTTTCGCTTAGCGATGTTTTCCCATAGCGATGTTTTTTTGGGAACCAATTAACATCGTTAAGCGAGGCACCACTGTACCATAGGTGGAATGGAGTGGATCACACAGAAATAATTCTCACACAGCAAAACAGACATTGAAATTCTGTTGCATATGTTCTGCCTGTGGAAGAGTGAGGACATCACAAGCAGGGGGATTTTTTTTTAAATTGAAGACCTCCTTTCCTTCTGGTTTAAAACAGAAGGAAAAATTATTTAATTACAAAAATTTCCACCTGCCAGTAATGTCATCACTTTTCTCCAGGTGTAATTCATGCAAATTGCTGAATTGGCTCAGCGTTGCAGATAAACAAAGTTTAGATAACTATTGCAAATAAAATGTAAGTATGTTACTTTAGCAATTGCTCTGTGTGCAAAATACGCAATCTAGGGGGAGCAGAGCAGGTCGCAGAGGGATTTGTAAAGGAGATAAAGCAAGGGAAACCCCTCTGCTTCATGTTCACAGTGTGGATCTGCTTATGCTTTGCACATCAATGCAAATGGAGTAGGGAATTTTGGGCTTCTGGCAAATCTCCAATTCTGCCCTAAGAAGAAGGGCAGGTTTTGTTGCTTTTTGCAGTTCTACAACTATTTGAGCAGGTTGCTTTACCAATTGCTTTGAGAGCAAAAATAAAACATACTACATTTTAGCACAGTGGTTACACTGCTGTACTGCAGCCAAAACTGTCCTCACGTCCCAGGTTCAATCCCAGGTAGCCAGCTCAAGGTTGACTCAGCCTTCTATCCTTCTGAGGTCGGTAAAATGAGTACCCATCTTGCGGGGGGGGGGGAATGTGTAGCCTGCGTAATTAACTTGGAAACGGGCCAGAGAGTGCTTTAAGTGCTTTGGGGGGGTATATAAGTAGCACAGTACAGTACAGGACTTTTTCAGTACTGTGGCTTAGGTTTTGTTAGTTTCTGAAGTTCTACATCTACTTGCAAACATATTACTTGACTCTATTGTAGTCTTTATTTTCCCTGCATTTGTGCAGTGGATATTTTGGAAGAAGTCATTTCAGTGCTCTATCTTGAATTCATTTTGTCAGTTCCGATTCTTGTAGCGGTAGTGGCTAAACGATGGGGTGCAGCACTGGGCCCTTAATCCTGCTATACATGCAGGGAAATTAAGAAGGTCAGAATACCACCATAATGTGAAACAAACTTATGCGTACATGTTTCTGTGGAAATTACATTGATGTGATGTTTCAGGATGCTGTTCAGCTTGTTTGTTGCTGCTTATGTGTTATGGAATCTTCCCAAATTTGATTGCAGTTTTATTTAAATAATATGTTTATTGTTTGACCTTCTGTTGTTTTAATGACCATTGAGACTGCAATAGCTTTAAAATGTAACATGTTATGTCTTTGGATGGGGACAAAACTCTACTGAGTAAAGTTTGAATAAATATTTACATACTGTGCACTCCTTGACTCAGCCAAAGATTTTGCTTTTCAAACCAGACCTTTCCCCTGTATGTCATGTTTCTTCCACATAACTGAATGAGCTAGGGCCCAAGGTTGTCACGGCAATTTTGTTGCATGTATAAGATACAGTTCTTAATTGTTCAGTTTTACTACACATATAACACATAGGTTTGGAAGACTCAGTTTGTTCTAAAATTGTTAGGTGTTTGGGCTTTATTAAATTTGAGCCTAGAATCAGTAGTAACAGTTGGGTTATTATTTCTTGGAATTTGAAAGGCTTTTCTGCCAAAGCTGTTGGTTCAGTTTTTTTTTGAGAGTCCTGCTGGAGATTGTCCCAAACAACATTGCTTACTACAAAACCATTCTGTTCTGTAAGTAAGAAAAGTTCCACTTGGCATTCTGACTCATCATGCAGCAAACACAGCTTTCCTTTTTTCAAATAGCAACCAGCCTTTCCAGCTCTTATCTGGTGTGTGTTTTGATATGCTGTCTTAATCAACCCCATCTGCCCATGGGCTTGCACAGAAATGGAATACAGGAGATACAGATGTCTGTTATCTCCTCTCAATATTTTTTAAAGCTACAATTATCATCACTCCTCCGTACTAACAAGGCTGACATGGCCACTCTACAGGATCTAGAGGACTACAGGTTCCTCACTTTACTATCGCATTGTTCACAGAAACACAGCAACAAAATATGAAAACTGAAAATCTCTTTATTAATCAGAATCCAAAGCCCATACCTTTATAAAAATTATCACTAAGCAAAGATACCCATCCCATCTGTTCCCTGTAAACTGCAGCTAGTGTCCCTGTGAAATGAAATCACAGGACAAACATTACAGTTGTTTAGGCTCACAATACCTTCATTAGAAACTGTTCAGGCATAAAATATGTGCAAACAATGTGCTTAAGCACATATTAATAACAGGAAATTGATTTCAATGGGTTCCCTCTAGATAGGATGAGTGTTAGATCTGGTCCTACTGTATAACTGATGCTTGGCTATTCATTCAGATCTTTGTTAGCTCCCTTTAATGCTTGAAGATTAAATTGTGAAAAGGCCAAAAGGCCAGTATGTGGAAAATATTACAGAAGGAGCATATTGTTTCTATGGTCCAATAGTGACTCTTTTTTTTGCTTTGCTTGCTTAGGTAAAGGTAAAGGTTCCCCTTGACATTTAGTCTAGTCGTGTCCGACTCTAGGGCGCGGTGCTCATTCCCGTTTCCAAGCCATAGAGCCAGCGTTTGTCTGAAGATAGTTTCCGTGGTCACGTGGCCAGCGCGACTAGACAGATGTTAGCTTTGAACTTGTGAGCTATCAGAAGTGCTGTCAAAAGCAATTATGCCATATAAATGTTGCTGTTTGTTCAAATTCCGTTGAATTTAGGCAGGTATGCAAAAGATTAAGAGGCTGGGTTAAAACAACAAGACACAGCGGATACTGAAAGAAAGAGGGGAAAAAGAATAGTTAATATATATGCTCTTCCCTCCACCATTTTTTTGTAAAAACACCAGTCGGGATGCATCAACTGAGATCACACAGGATTCTAAACCTGATGTAGCACTTAGCATGTTTTTATGAGAGGTGCTGCCTCAGCTGATGAAAGATGGCTGCCTGTTATTGCATGCAGTTTCCTTCAATAACATATTCTGCATTTAGCATGCTTTGTTTCATGACTGATCACAGGCAGATAAACAAAGTCTTAATTTGGAAGTCTGACTGTGGAATCATGTATCTTTGAGGATATATATCTTCGGGGGAAAGATAAAACATAGGAAATATATATGCACCTTATTGTCTGGTTTGACCCATTATCTCCCAACCTCACCACAAACGGTTGGGTTAGGATAAAAATCCAGACTCTGAGTTGGGCAGGACAAAAGTTTTAAAAATTAGAAATCTTACCTTTTCCCAGTTTGTAGCAGCTCAAAGCCTTCACCAATTTTCTCAAAGGGCAGTACATGAGTTATTAAGGTATCTGTGTTAAATTTCTTGTTCATGTAATCAGAAACTAGTTTAGGGAGAGCATCTTTCAACTTCCAGCCTGGGGGAAAACAAAGTACTGTTGGACTTTGCTGGCATATACTGGATAGATGGATGGATGGATTTGCAGGAGATAAATATTGACTCTATTCATGAAAGTTTTAGAACAGTGGTTCCCACCCATTTTTGAGTCATGACCCCCTTTTATAATAGTCAAGTAACCTGCCACTCCACAATATTTGCATAAAAATGCATTTTAATAGGGTGAAATCATCCCTTCACAGAAAGGAGTGGCTTCTTTCTCCTCCAAAGTGCCTGTTTCTCATACATACACATATATGTATAACTATCATTTTCCTCAAAGTTAGCATAACCAATGGAGGAAAAGAAGGACAGGAAACACTTTCTAAATGAACAAGTCGATAAATATAGACTTAGATTTAGTTTCCAAGTCATAGCTCCAGCCTGGATGGCACAATGAGAAAGAGGTTCAGAGGAGCCCTGACTAACAAACAGTTAACTGCTTCTCCATTTTCAGTTGCTTCCACTTGCAGTGGGAGCAGCTAAACAAACCCTGGAGCTGCCCAAAATCAGGATGTTGTATCATCTGAATAAAGATGCTTTCTCTTCTCTGCCCCCACTGCTCCCACCAAGTCAGACAATCCAAGGTTGTGATTTGATTACTGGTGTGTGTGTGTGTGTGTGTGTGTGTGTGTGTGTGTGTGTGTGAGAGAGAGAGAGAGAGAGAGAGAGAGAGAGAGAGAGAGAGAGAGA